TTTTTTTTTTTGGTTTTTCTCTGGTACCGGGAACCGAACTCACGACCTTGTGCTTGCCAGGCATAGTGATAGCTTCTTGCTGGCAGAGTCCCACAGTGGGGAAGGGAGTGTGTGTCTCCTCTGATCGGGCCACACGCAGCGTAAATCCAGTGAGCTGGGAGGAGCCACGGGACTGAAGCCGCTGCATGTTTCAACTTCATCAGTGCCCAAGGCGCCTTGGATAGGGGTCTTGGGTGAAGGCACTGATCGCTGGACCTTTCCACTAAGTTCTGGAACCTGGGCCTTCTGAGACCCAGGATGGTCACTTTATTCCCAGCTCTCCACATGGCCTGAGAGTGGAGGAAGTATCATCCAAGCTCTATGAGTTCTTTCCACTTCAGCTCTGGTGTGTGTTATGCGTGTGTGTGTGTGTGTGTGTGTGTGTGTGTGTGTGTGTTTCAAAATATACATAGCATAAACTTCACCATTTTTGCTTAAACGTTTCAGTGAACTGAGGGTATTCACACTGTCATGCAGCCATCAGTCACCACCCTCCATCTCCAGAACTCTTTCCTCTTCCAACCTGAAACTCTGTCCCCACAAAACACTGATTCCTCCCCTCTTCCCAGACCCTGCCACCCCCTTGCTGTCTGTAGGCTTGTGACAACTGTCAGTGCTTCAGATGTGAAGTCACATGGTATTTGTCCTTTGTCACTGGTTTATTTCACTCAGCAGGATGTCCTCAAGTTCCAGCCGTGTTGCAGCATGTGTCAGTATTTCCTTCCTTTTTTAAGGCTAATACTTCCTTGTATGGATACAACACATTCTTTACTCATCTGTCCATCCACACATGCTTGGGCCGCTCCCTTTTGACTCTTATAAAAGACACTGCCTTTTACATGAGTGGAAAAAATATCTTCTCAAGTCTTCGCTTTCATTTCTTTTTAGTATGTTCTCAGAAGTGAAATTGCTAGGTCATAGGATAATTCTCTGTTTTGTTTCTTCATGAATTGCCATTTTCCATGGAAACTGCACCATTTTACATTCCAATCAGCAGTGTGCAAGGACTCCAGTGTCTCCACGTCCTTACCCACACTTGCTTTGACTTGGGTACTTTCCTGTCCCTTCTAGCTGGAGTGCTGGGGGCAGAGAGTAAAAGGGTTCTCGCGTGTCCCCCTCCATCGAAGTCCTCCCTGGGTGTCAGGCAGGGTAGCGGTGTTCTCACATGACTCTTCTCTCTCTCCCACAGTGTCTGTCCCTGCAGGACCTCCTGTCCAAGCTGGGCCGGCCCTTCAGGGAGTACGAGCTCTGGGCTCTGTGCCTCGCCTGCCTCAGTGCGCTGCAGAAGCATACAGAGCACCCAGGTGACGGGTATCACCTGCCCACCTGAGCTGGGCCAGGGCCAGCAGAGAAATGCTGGGTGGTAGGGGCAATGTCCACACTGTGACCTGGAGCAGGGATCATCATTCACACTCCAAGGCAGCAACAGGGAGGTAGTGTTCGCGCTGTGAGAGGGCCAGTGTCCACACTGTGAGCCAGGAATAGGGTAGGGAGCAGTGTCTATCCTATGGGCAAGAAGCAAAGGCACAGCCCACCTGTTGAAATCTCCTCTGGTCTCAGCACAGGGCAGGTAGCCGGCATACCTGTTATCTCTCTGTTGGTCTAAAGTGGATGATCCCTGCCATAAAGAGGAATGGGATAGCTCCAGCCCACACATTCTCAACAGAGGTAACAGTGTTCCCAGGGATGCCAACGTCGGTCTGGGAGCTGAGGGCAGGAATATTAGATGGTGCACTGGCTTGTGGTTCCCCTGAGTTTCATGTGCCAGCCGGCAAGACAAGGGGTGGTTCACCTGTGATTTCACACTGCCACAGTGGTGACAAGGGCAGCCCTAACAGAGCTAGAAAGAAATCAGACAAACACTGCCATCTGGCGCCAGTGAGGAGCTGCTTCTGAGCCACCCCTGGGACCTGAATCAGGATGGGACTTGAGACCCGAGGAGGGACACTGGGCTTCCCAGCCTCCCCAAGACCCGGCCTTCCCCCAAAGGCAGTCAGAGCGTTGACCACACTTTCCGCCTTGCCGTGGGCGCTGCCCTGCCCTGTCCCTGGCTCATAGTGTGGACACTTCCTCCCCTTCCTTTTCATTCCCAGCGTGAGAGGGGTAATATTACTAAGTGACACTGGTGGCCAGAGCAGCTCTGCCTGGCGGGGTGGAAGGGCCCATACCTGGCCACTCTTTGTCAGTCTGCTGGGAGGGAGGATGCTCAGCCAAGCACAACACCCACGCTCTGTTGTCTCCTGGGTGACACTAGAGGACGCCCAGTGCTGAGCAAGGTGTGCAGGCCAAGCTAGCTCCTGACTCACACTCTGTTGCAGCCTGCCTGTGCCTGGACAACGTGCTGGTGGCCGAGGATGGAACTGTGCTCTTTGGGCCTCCCCCTGCCAACGGTGTGTACCTGGGGTCACCCTAGGGACTAAGTTCTAGCATCAGCTGGCCAAGGATGAAAGAAACTAAGCTGGTTTTCTCTCCTAGGCGCCTACAACTCATTCTTTCTGGCTCCCGAGGTGGCAGAGGAAAAGCTCGTGACAGAAAAGGTAAGTGGCCCTGTCTTTTCCTTCGGTCTCTATGTCCCAACCTCACTGGTGTCCACATCCTCTTCTGTCCATTGGGCCCCAGGAGTGATGGGTCCCAAAATACAGCCCCCACGTCGAGTCTAGGTTTTGCCAGGCAGGTGGGCATGGACAGCTCCTCTTCCAAGGGCGGCAGGTGTGGGTGGCAGCCCCCAAATAAGGGCTGAAGAAAGCCTGGCAGTATATGGTAATGAGCACAGAAGGAAATGTAGTAGTAAACAGATCCTTATTATTTTTATATTTATTTTCCACAGAAATTGCTAGTGCAGTCTCATCCTTATACTTAAGGAAATTGTGTCAAAATAACTCTTATGATCATATTCAGACATCACTTTTGGTGAAGACAGAAATGGATAAATATTGTACATACATTTTAAAAAATATAATTAAAATTTACTATCTAAATTTTTAAACTAAGACCTTAAGAAATATTAATGAGTTTCAGTCAGAGAAAAAATTATTGTGGAATCAAATAAATACCCACTCATCACCTAATTGTCTGTTGTGACTTCAAACAAGTCAGTTAACTTCTCTGGGTTTCAGTTTTCTCAGCTTACAGGATGAGGGTAATAATATTACAATGGGTATAATAATATCTTCTGTTTGGAAATTATACAAATAAGTATATATATATTAAGCACATATAAATGAATGTATATCATTAGGTAAATGATTTATATTTTCCTTTTCTCCTCAAACTGCCTAGCATAAGCACTCTAAACACACAATTCATTTATCCCTCAAAATTTGTTCATCTATAGTCCACAGGAGTAAATCTCTTTTTAACTATAAACACAGATTTCTCCAATAAAAACAAGGAATGGCGAGAAGTCAATTAAATTTAAGAGTCCTTTCAATTTGGAATTGCTTACAAGATATTGAAAAAGTTGTACTTTACTCACATCCTCAGAGTGAGTAAACATACCAGGCATATCAATCTTTGATCAATCACATTCTCTTTCAAAACAACATGGATTTCTGTTTCAGATTTTGTCCCCTTGCCCCTCTGCAATAAATATGAACTGAAAATGAAGTTGATTCAGTCTTATAAATGGGGTTTTGTTTTGACTGCTAAACTTTCTTTCCTGGGCCTACTTTGAAAAACTTATGGTTGATATGTCTGGTAAAGTACAAAGAGAATATAGAAGGAAAATACAAACAGCTGGATAGTAGCAAAGTATACTGCAAAATGTGCTGGTATAGGAAATCAAGTAATTCTGGTTTTATCTTGGACAAATTACTTTACTCCTCCCAATGTCACTATTAACTAATAAAATGATATTCCAGGAGTTCCTTTCTAGCTCCAAAATTCTATTATTAGCTGTGGGATAACATTTATTTTTTATTAGATTAATAAAATTAAGCAGAGAGTAGAAGCACGAGGTGAGAGGATTAAGGGGATACATGACCCTTTCTAAGTTTCATGAGATTCTGTCATCTCATTTGTAGCTTTGGTCAACAAGAAAGGTTAGAAAACTACTATAAATTAATATAACTCTTTAAGGAAGCACCTTGGTAAAATATATCCAGAACATGAGATTCACACAGTGGTTCCAAGATGTGGTCTCCAGTTTTTAGTGGCAGAGTTCCAGCACACATCTACTTAAACTGTTTGACATAGTTATTTCATCTGTAAAATAAAGATAATAATCTTCAGCTATCTGAAATGGTTGTTGTGAAGATTAAATTAAATTCAGGTTAAGGTCTGTATCACTCACAACCTAGCACCCAGTAAGTACCAAAAAATGTGTAAGCTATTATTTCTTACTCTGCTTTAACTTGATAACCCCACTCCTTGGAATTTACACTTAAAATATAATTGTAAAGAAGAGATAAAGGTACTTAATGAGATAATTTGTGATATCACTGAATGGAGGAGGAAAAAATGCTAACAGATCAAAATATCAACAACTGAAAAGTGATAAAAATCTGATAGAGAATTAGGAAGCCATTGAAATAATTATTGTAAAGAGGATGTAATAATATGGGAAAATATGTATGATACATTTCAAAGAGAAGAAAAGAAGACCTAAATTATTTATACATTATGATTTAAACTATATAAAAATTGCATGTTTATAATGACAAGAAAAGAGCATAGAAAAAATGAAGTTAGTGAATGTGAATAAACTGAATTATTAATTTTTCCTTTTTAATTTTTTTCAACATTAATGTGGTATTGTTTATGCATTTAAAACTTAACTGAGGAGACAAAACAAAAAAAGTAAATGAACAGACTTTCACATAAATGATAACATTAAAAAAAAAAGGTAATGTTAATAAGTAATCCTCCTGGTCCTTTTGGGGCCATAGAGGGTGCAACAAGCCTAACAGAGTATCTTATGCATCCCTATACTATGTGTACAGGGTGATTAAAAAGCTTTGACATTGATAATTTAGTGACAGAGCTAGATTTTAAACTTTTTAAATATTCCATTAATTTATATACCAAAAACCAATTTGAAAGTATAAAAATCAGTAATTTTTGATGTGCTTTGACTGCATAAATGCACATTTAGATACACTGTATTCCCTAAAATATAAAGAACTATATCCAAATTACTAGCAATATCCAGTGAATAGCAAGTCATGAAAATTTCAAAATTTCATAAACATGAAAAATTAAGCATGAATGGAATAGATAATTTGTATTGTATAGGTTCAGCTGAGAGACCATAGATGTGAAACATTTATTTCTAACTAATTCACAGAATATAATGGAATTACATTAGCGGTTCTAATTCTTAATTCTCTTAAATGAGAAAACAATATGATAAAGAGCAAAATATGAAATAGATAAAAGACAGTAGGGAGATAGATCCTTCTCAATGGAAAGTGGATCAAGAGATGGAAGGAGGACTCCAGCATGGAAAACAAGCATTGAAATCAAGGACCTTGGAAACATCCAGCAATACAGCAGAACTTGATCACTGATATTATGATACTGCTGAGTAGAGGAAGGAATAAAATGTATAGAGCTCTTCAAAGTAGACAATCAGATAAAAGATCCATGCATGAAGCAGGGCCTCAAAGATTTATAACAAAGTACAATAGTAAGCTAAGAAAAACTAAAACTAAATAAAAACAGCAAGCAAAAATATCCTGTCAGACATGATAGCAAGGAAATAGTTAAGGACAACTTGGATGGACTGTGAAAAAAAGTTTTTCTGAAAACAAATCCCATAAGTTGGCCTTCATGTGAATATGTAACATAAATTCTTTTTTATGCACTGGCTGTGCATCTGGAAGAAAAATCCTCAATCACTGAGTTTATTTTTAAGTAGTCACAAATATCTGGTGCTGAAAGGAGGCAGGAGTTCAGGGCATGGCCAGCTGGCTGGGCAAGTGGGTATGAACTATCAATCATGGATATCCAGCACAAATACACCAAAGCCCTGCACCTAGGACCAATCAAAGAGTGTATTCTCCAGTTCTTCTAGTGAGAATTCTAGCAGGTTTTTGATAGGATGGCCTAGATCTGACATCAGCCTGTGGAGTGGAGTATACAAATGATGCCACCATTAAGCTGTGATCACTGAGCTCTCTTTCTTCAGAAGTTCACTCTTACTCTGCAGGGCATATTTCCTTTCCTATCTCTAATAAATGTGTGAAACCTTGCTACCTTATTCACTTTTTTTGACCAGTTCTTTGGTTAGGACAACGAGCACCTAGAAGGACTCTTTAGAAGGAGCCCACAGAACCCAGAACCCCAATAACACAAAACCACCATAATTTTGCAAAATTAGACAAAAAAGAAGCCTTCTATTCAAGACTGAACCACCCCCATGATGAATTCCAACAGAAAACAAGGCACATGAGCAGTAAGCAGCAAGAACAATAACAGACAATATCTGAAATCCTTTTGGGTTTAGATATTAGGCTCAGTTTGATAATGGTCCATGTGATTGAAAATCCAGTTCAATATCTAAACCCAAAAGGTGATAAAAAAAGAAATCAATGATAGAATGCAAGACTGATCAAACCATTAAATAGAATAAAAAACAAAAACAAAAAAACATTAGAAACAATACACATGGATACATACGTTCGTTATCTTGGATGTGATGAGGCTTTTACAGTCAAAACTTATCAGACCAAATACTTTTAAGTGCAGCTTATTGTATGTAAGTTATACTCCAACAAAGCTGTTATTTAAAAACACATAGAAAGCAATACACCCACATGCACATCGAAATGGATAAAATTAAAGGGTTGGTAGTACTGAATGCTAGTGAAGGTGTAGAACAATTGGAACTCTCTCATTTACTACCAGTGAAAATGTAAAATTGTAATTTTACCAATTTGGAAAACAGTTTGGCCCTCTCTTCATTTAACATGAGTTCCACTCCTAGATATTTATTGAAAGAAGTGAACACATACGCCCATAAATATTCATAGCAGTTTTGTTCATAGTAGCTAAAAGCAGAAAATAATCTGAATATATTTCAACAGGTGTACAAATAAAGAAATTGTGATGTACTTAAACAACATGATTCAGCAATAAAAAGAGATGAGTGCCCAACATGTGCAATAACGTGAATGAATTGCAACATCACTGCAGAGAGAAGAGTCAGACACAAAGACTGAATACAGTACTGACCTCACGTAATGATGGATACACTGGGTCAACTTGAGAAGTTTAGAAGTTGAACTAAGGGACTCAGTAGAGAGCCAGGGTCCTTACTTTGTAAGCACCCTCACCCTGTGCAAGAGGAGGGCGTGGAGATTGTGTGAGTGCTACACGTGCCCTGAGTGGGGGTGGGTAGCCCACTTACAATATAAGGGAGGAAAAGTGGTTTCCTCTCCTGCCCCCTTTTCTGCTCTTGTTGCATTTGCTGTCTTTTGCCCCCCTGAAGTGTTGCCCCCTGTGCCCTGCCACCCTACCTTGGAGCCGATGACAGACTGAAACCTCCACAAACTGTGAGCTAAATAAACCTTTCCTGCTTTAACTTTGGTTATTGAGAATTTTGTCTCAGCAGTGAGACAAAAGTAACTAAGACACTCCATTGTATAGAACTCTAGAAAAAAACAGTCTAATCTAATGCGACAGAAAGTAGATTACGAGTTGCTTGAGGCCAGGTGTGCAGCTGGTGTTAATTGGAAAGGAGGACAAGGGCACTTTTTGAGTTTATCAAAATGTTCCAGATCTTTCTTTTGGTGGGGGTATTATAATTGTATAAATTTATCAAAATATAGCATTAAAATAGATAGAATTTATTGTATACTACTTTCACCAAAA